CGTGGAAGCTGCTTGCAGCACCCTCCTTTGGAAGGGAGTCAGCAACCTCATTGCCTTCCAGGCAATATGGTAGTAATCCAAACCAGAGACAATCTGTTAAGTCTTCCTATCGAGGAGAGTCGTTTTTGGAAATTTGGTACCAATTAAGACGTTGCTCAGTAGGAGCCAAGACTCCTTATAGGACGAAACTGCAGTAACTTCAGTTACAAATAGAAGCGGTAAAAAAACAGAAATTTTAATTTCTCATTTTTCAACATTGAAAATATGTTTCCTTTAGCTTTCAGGAACCGTCTCGTTACTCGTGTCTCAAATACATTTTCTAACAGTTAAAATATGTTACAGTTACATTTATAGTCGTATTTCAATGTCTGACCTCACAGTTGGTCCAATCTACGATTTATGATGAATAAGGGAAATACAAAATTATTTATTATCTAGTTGTTTCTTAAACTGTTTTGTATTCAGCCTTGTGTTGACGGTGACTAGGGTTTGTCTGGTTGGTGCTTTATGAGAAATTCGATGACGCTGCTCAGTCATTGCCTCGCCAAACCGGAGATAACTTACAGGACCGGCTTCACAAATTGTTACAGTGTTTAACTGACTGGAAAGCTGATTTGGGATTTCAATAATGAATTACTTTTTGGTAACTGTTCATGTGTTCGTATGAGCGAACGCAATAATGAATAGATGTCTATTTGCTTTAAATAAATGTAATGGAACGGTGAGCTGTAATTTTTCGGAAGCGGTTGTGTCATATTATTCTAAGCTCGAAATACACATACATATATGTTTCTCCCCTCTCGAAAAAAATGAAGTAATATAATGGAAACAATTACAGTTTTCAAAGTGATTCGTTTCTACCGAGGAAGCTACGGTATTTTGGTGAATATTGTATAATTATTATTGAGGATAGATTTGGATGCATTATTCTTCTTTGACAGCCTGTGCTTTCAACTATAACATCATGACTATAAAATGAAGTATTTTGCTCCACAGTATATTTGACAGATAACTTGTGATAATCAATTGCCTTTTATGCATTTCAATATTGTTCAATTCGCAGAATTTTCAGTATGATGAAATTAGAGAGTATTAACTTAGTATGAATTGAAATCTAACCAAACTGTATCTTTTTTCCTATAATTTCTTAGTAATCTGGCAAAAATTCTAAATAAGTGTGACATCTAAAATTGCAACCTTAGGAGAATTATCATAAATCAAGTAATTCTGCACCTTCTTGTAACCATAATATATACTCGTACGAAAGTAAATGGGAACATAACAATGGCCTGCGTTAATAATTGCTATTTGATATGAAATAATGACACAAATCCCTTTTCACTCCAATTTGTTTGTAATATTATGATTTTAACATTTCCCAAAGAAAGAAAATTGATTGCATATGATTTTTGAAATTTTTCCTGAATCACATTCTCGGCAAAGTCTCAGATAACTTATTTATCTATTATTCACATATCAATCTTCTCGATATCGTCAAATTGAAGATATCATTTCATTTTCTCGTGAGTGAAACAGTAATTTCAAATGCCATTTTTAAAATGAACATGTCGATCGATATACCCTAGTACCTAGATCAGTATTAAAAATATATCCTTTGAATATATTGTGAAAATAAATCAAGAGACTGTTCAATATTAACTTCTTATTCTTTCAATAAGGATTGTCAAATTAGTTTCAATTAGATAGATATTTACATTGAAAGAATACCAAGTGAATTATTTTAATTTTTCCTCGTTAATTGTACTTCGTATGATACGTGAATTCAGACCCTCTCATTCCTCAGGGCTGTGTATCAGGACATTCTTGCAATAAGCAATATATTCCTCCTGAAATGTTCTTCGGAAGTTTATGATAATTAAGGGAGAGTCATGGGTGACAATTATCATTCAAACTACCAGTCAGATAGTAGTCGATTGGTTGTCGTTAATGGTTTCTCCTGATCAGTGAATATCATCTGATTCGTACTGAGAATAGAACATTTATAGGTTAGGTTCGTTAATACGTAGCCTTGCACAAGTTTTGACGCTTCAGGGTTGTTATTCGTATGGAGACAACACCTGATTAACTGAGAAAATTCTGTTTTCAAAATATTCAAAGTCCGGTCCTGTCTTCACCCACGTTTCTATCGCGTTTGTTGAGCTTCGCGGCATGCTTTTCATTATTTATACCGCAGTCTTTTCTTGCGTTTTGTTCGAGTATTTTGGCGTGCGTAACCATTCGTTTTTCTGCAAACGCAGACGGATATTGCGATGATTTTTCTCGAAAACAAGTTCCGACGGTAAAAAAAAACTCGTACTAGTTTTCTCTCATTTGGTGATACGGTCAGTGTTCACGATTCCTAATTACTTCAGGGTGTCTCCCGAGTACGCTGTCAATGTCGGCAGGTATGTGTCACACTGAGTGCGATCTTTTACAATGTCCCTACATGGTTATATGTAAGTTTATTGATCGGTTATTGATGTCGTTGGTCTTATTAGGAAGTGAAAATGATAGGTGTGGATATTTTTATAAGCTAGTATACGTATAAATGTGATGAGAAAATAGCTTCATAGCGATTTTTTGTTTACTGAGGTTAGCAGAATTTGAAGTGAAATCCGTTGGTAGACCCAATTCCTCGATATCTGGAAATAGGAAAGTTACAATTATCTAGTGATGTTTCATAAGGTCCAGCGATTCAAGAAAAAACGTGATGGTGAAAATATAATTATGTTCCTGGTTGCAGGTTCGACTAAGCGCTGATACTTTTTTCAACATCAAACAGATGGTAAAAGGAATGGATGAATGATTCTACATTGTCCAACTATTGTATAGGGAAACACATGTTGCAATTTTGTTAACCGCCCAGTGAAAATCTCATAATAAAATGTTACTTGAATTAATATTTCATGTATTTTGTGGAAATCAACAAAAACTTAATATGCCAGTTATCAATTTAGAAAGTGAAAATCAGTTTTTTTGGTAAACGTACCAGAGACAAAAACCGATAAAAATGAAAGTTTAACATGGTTGACCAAGAGTATCTAGCTCACCGTCTGCATCGAACAGTGTCAACAACAAAGTCTTCTGGTAAAGCTGGGTCTATGCGCCATGCTGGAAGCTGTTAGAAGAATAAATAGAAAACAGTGTAAATTTAAAAAATGGGTTCGATTCTTTATTGTCTCACTCGTATGTACCAATGTTCAATGTGAAGGTTCCTAAACTTTCTGGTCATATTTCAAAACGGATGCATTGATTTTCTATAGTTTAAATATTCGTATCTGACAGACAATACTGCTGGATCAAGCATTATCTTACAGATACTTGAATAGCAAGCAGCCAATGACACATTCAACCGGATTTTTTCAGAATTGCCAGTTTAATGTGAATTCGATATATTGTGTTAAGTAGATAATCTAATTTCGTTGAGTTATCAATAAATTAACACTTCATTTTTTCTCAATCGAGCATACATAAGTAGTACACAATTATGTAGTTGGTAACTGAGCAATAAAAACCCAATAATGATGTATGTTATGGAATCAGCCGATACTCGATAGACACGCGAAACACGTGTAACGGTTTTATAAACTGAATAGTGAAAATATCACAAAGAAGTGTTTCTTTAATACAGTAATGATTTAGTATAACATACAAGTTATTTTTTGATATCCTCGTAGATCGGATAAGTCACGAGTTCATTGAATTTTCACTGTAGACTACTTTTAACCTATCTACGCCAAATCTACGAACATTTGTGGTTATATGTTGATATTTGTTGTCTAGAAAAACGATAAATTACTTCAGCTTATTATTTATTTTGAAATCCAAATGTTTCAATCGAGCTTTTTGTATTTTATGAAGTTTATATAATATTTGTCTTTAAGTATCTACTGACGTTGTACCTATTTATCTTCAATATTTTAATTCTAATCGCACCTCAATGTTCAATTACTCTGTTATTAACCCGAGTACTAATGATTTTAACATACTACAACCAATAGGAAAGCTGACTCTCCGCATATTACCAACTTCTATCAGGGAAGTACAGTCGGACAAAGATTTTTTTCTTGAATAAATTCAGCAATTGTTGACAACTACACATTACACACTACGGAACGGGACCACCAATTCTTTCTTTTGTGCAGGTGGAAAATAATTTAAAGATAATGAGTGATATATAATTTCAAGTGATAGATACGTACATTCTCATTAGAAATAAATGAATTAAGAGAAAATGGAAGAACTAGCAACCGATTATTGATAGGTAATTGGATGCATAGTTACTAGACAGGATTATGAAACGTTTTGTAGATAATCCACAAAACATCGCTTGCAATATTAATAATCACATACCACTATATACATATATACAATTCATATAATATTTTCATAGATTTGTTGCCAAGAGATCAAAATATGATTTTTCGCCTACTCTCGATACATGGTTTTCATCAGGAAGTGTTTCTATTCTGGATAGATTACCATTTTCATCCCTTTAAACGTCATCCCCACATTCCTGTTCCGATGCGGTGTCGCTATCCCCATCATAGAAATCAATAATCAGATCATCCACGATGATGTCTTTCGTGGGTTCATTTGACATACAATTGTCCTTAAATTTCTTTGCTCGTTCACGATGAGATTTCCATTGCATTTCAGTCCAGCCTAAACTCAGTTGGATTCAAATCCGGGAGATGTGGCGGCAATTGTACAAAGTTGTGATCCCGATCTATATCGGGTCTTTCTAGCAACTATAAGTTGTATATGAGGCCATATAGTTGTCTATGAAGCCATATAACTGAGACTTCAACATGTTTTTTTCGAATGGACTATTCCTCTCTGATAAGCATGATTGCATTTCGGCTCTTTTGGTCGATTCAGTTGGCATTTTTTGATTTGTTTATTATGATATAGTGGAGTATCAATCACCAAAACGCTTCTTAACGGCAACTCAGGAATCAACTGTTTCGACAGCCATTCTTTATAATTGTCAAAGCAACATCCAGAAACATCTGCAGTCTATGTTTTACTTGCTCAGGCCGGAGGAAACGCTTAAAATGGTAAGCTTTCTTGTGCACATATTTTTTATGCTTCATTTGAACCAAAGTTGTACAGAAATATATAACAAAAAGGGTCAGGTGCAACGATTACTATGAGTAAATGAAAAATTTTCTCGTTGATTGTGTCCCTCAATTTTTGGGAGAGTTTATTCAATAATACCTCCGAGGGCGAGGAAGAGCCGAGACCTGTAGGTTAGTAATAATATATTTAGCAAAAAAAGAGATAGGCTGCAAACAAGTATTGAAACAAATTGTTACTGAAATTGTGCCAACAAATAATAGGTACAATCGTTGTTACCAAAACATTTCATCCAGACTACAAATCGCGAATCCAAAAATTAAAGGAAATTAATGAACTATGATCTGAATTCTCCCATGGGTGATAACAATGTTACAAAAGACAACAGTATCGAAACACTAAATGAAGGGTGAAAATACTTACGGTTCTCAAAGAAACTAAAGAGGAGTCGGTAATGAAACAAATTGCAAAAGACAGTACGCTCGGTACAAGAAAATTGTTTCCTACAACAAATGAGAGTCGTACAAGCTCTAATCTTTATAAGACTCTAATTAGGATTCACTTATTGCAAGAACTAAATGAAACTGCTTTGATCGTCCTATGCAGTTTTGCGAAATGTATGTTTTTCGGATGGTGTAGTTAATCATTAAATTGTTACTGGGCCGATAGCAATCTCAGGTTATTCATAAACAAACAAAACTCTTAAAAGTTCATCGTGTGAATTGGTATTTCTGAAAATTCCCTTGTGTGCCTCTTAAACGGTACTTCTCCAAATTACTCAAAAAATGCACGTGATGATCTAAACGACAGGTTTTCAGATCACTGGATAAGACAGAGAGGCGCAATTGAGAGAGGGCTCAGGCGATTTTAGATGTGATTTAGGTACTTATCTGCTTGGTGACAACGATATAATAATTGGAAAATACGTCTGTCAAGAGACAAGAAGAGGCGGGTTCCAGGTCGTGTTACATTTTTCCAGTTATTTTTTTTCATATGCATACCGCAAATCTAATATTTTGTATTTATACTACACATGCTAAAACTTTTCACACTTTTTCGCCGTCCTGTATGAACTGTTCCGAATTGAGTCGTCTTTTAAGTATCTCTATTCGTAAATCATTATTTTGAAATATACTTTGATGCAATTCTGCATCTTTTATCTTGGGTCGTGCACAACACACATCGATAAACAGTTTAACCTTTTGTCAGTCGTAAACGTTCCTATAATATCTTATTGAACTGTCTAGTAAAGTAGAGGCTTATGCGAGACTGAAGTAAGTATATAGGAAGTAGGTCACTATGTACTACCTACTCGTTCGGTGAAAACGGATACTCTTGGGAGAGAGAAAATCCTAATGGATCTATTCAAGAGAATTTGGGCAAAATTCCCTCGGGGAGAGCTTTTCTAAATAGGTCATATTATGGTCGATTCTTAGGTTTTATATAGTTTACGCATACAATAGTGAAAGCGCATTGGAGTGTGTTTCTTTTTTAATTGACTGTGAACCTGTCAATACTGCTACTGATTAAGGCTTTTTAATTATCATATGATAACTTAATTTGTTCTCTATTATACAATAAATATCGGAGAATTACATGTGGACTCTTTATTTTCTTCAGGATTCTATAAACAAATGAACTAATGTAGTTTATTAGTCATTGGGCTATGTCTGAAGACTGGCAGTAAACACAACCTACACAGTAGGTTGAATGTACTGACGCCTCTAAGAAAACAACTACTCCACTGGCTAATACCACGAACGGCGTTAGATTATATCCGACAGGCGTCAGTGCAGGAATCTTCACAGAAAATTTCCTGCAGAGGAATCGGGCAAATTTTGAATATGCAGTTGGTTAGTACTTCGTCCACTAGATGGAGACACATTTTTGTTGTTCGCTCCAACTTAAAGACGAGGAGTGAAATACTCTGAAAGAATTTCGATTTTCAATTTTGGAATGTCACTATCCTGCACTGACAAGTAGCTACGGAGTCCGAAACCGGTCTGCAAGTGTGCCCGTTCCAAAATTGAGGGTCGACTCTTTCATTTATATTGTCAATTGCATATGCAGGAAATTTTCTGTGAAGATTCCTGCACTGACGCCTGTCGGATATAATCCAACGCCGTTCGTGGTATTAGCCAGTGGAGTAGTTTTTTTCTGATAGGCGTCAGTCCATTCAACCTACTGTGTAGGTATATTCGAGACTGGCTTGAACATTCAAAGTTCATTTCTTTAGATTTAATGTAGGTAGTTCCTTTCGATCATCAAATAAAGACGCGTTGTCATGGAATTTTCTTTGATTTCCACATGTTTTCCCCAGAGTACCTGTCAGATGATGATTGGATTACCTTTCCAAAACTTCAACAGGAATATGAAATGAGTGTAAAGCACCTCTGTGGAAAAATCCGGTGTTTTCGAGTTGAGGTTTGCTGGGAACTTCGCCAAACGACTAATTTCACAGCGCGCTGAGTTATTTGATCTCCACCGTAGACAGTGAATAGCAAATATCAGAAGAGTGGTGAAATATGTGAAAATTAGTTTTTTTTTCAATGTGTTTTGAAATGACAAACTGCGTGCCTCAAAGCAAACGGTTGTGAAACCATTTTGCTAAATGTCCTACGTTGCTGATAAGTTCGTAAAACTTATATAGTGAAAGGAAAAGTATTTCTCGTATATCTGAACCCTCTCAACCCTCAACCCAAAAATGCAATTGACCGGACCGGAAAACCTAAGGCACAATCAACTTCTTGGATGTTCTGATGAACTGACGTGAAGATGGGACATGGAGTACAGAGTGTATAGGAAATAAACACTTACAGATGGATATATCTAACCAAAAACACTAATCATCATCCACGAAAAAAGATAGGGGTAATATTAACGTTGGATGAGAGCGCTTGAGGCATCTTTGAACCTGAGAGTTTTTCCGAGGATCTTAACATTTGAGGAATGCTTTCAAAGGGTACGTGAGGAGCGAAGTCAAATTCGAGTAGTAGATAAGACTCAGAAAAGATATAACAGGAGATAAAATGTCCCTCATGAACTACAGACCTATTGCGCTTCTGAGCACTTCATCAAAGGTTCTAGAAAAAGGTATATAAAAAAGAATAAATAGTTTTCTATGTAAGTTTGATATAATGAATAAAAAACAACATGGATTCAGGAAGGTCATTCCACTGAAACGGCAAAAATTGAGTTCATACAAAAAATAAAGGAAAAACTAGAGAGGAAAGAATCCATTATTGGACTTTTCTTCGACCTGTCACGTGCATTCGACACGCTAAACTTTGATTTCATCGTTACAACAATGAATGCATTTGGGATTCGTGGAAACATATCACAATGGATCCGTTCATTGCTAGAAGGTCGTAAGCTAATAGTGAAAATTAATGATCAAACTTGCGATGATTACTTAATCGACACTGGTATTCCCCAGGGGAGCGTTCCCGGCCCCTTAATTTTCTAGTGTTCATCAATGACCTTCCTGATTACATAAATGACGGAGAGGTTTTTATGTTCGCAGACGATACATCTATAATAGTATCCAGCCCAGATACAAATGAGCTGCTCAGAAAAGCAAATAACGTTATTCTCCAATTAAATAATTGGTGTAAAAAGAACTGTTTGATCATAAATTATTCCAAAACCATTGCGGTTCAATTCCCGAGATCCAAAATAGGAAAACTTTCCACAGAACAACTAAACATTAATAATCAGACAATAATATTTCAAGAAAGTTGCAAATTTCTAGGTACAATTGTTGATAGCAATCTCAGATGGGAGGAATGCATCACTATGATCTGCTCCAAATTGAATAAAAAATCTGATAAGTTGCCTTGATGCGGAGGGTATAATTTCTGTGTATTGGTTTACTCGACTATAAGTTATAACATTGTAGTTTATGGTTTGGCCACTGATAGTACCAGAGTCTTTTTAGCACAATAAAGGATAATTCGCCTAATGTTCCATTTGGATTATCGAGAATCCTGCAGAAATATCTTCAAAGAGGAAAAACTTCTAACTTTCACGAGTATTTATTTATACAAACTTCTGATTCACACCTACATTCACAAAAACAGTCTCATGCAAAATTAAAAATTTCACAACTACCAAACTCGCAAAAAAAACGAATTTAGACTAGAACTAGCCACATATAACAATTACAAAAAATCCCCAAAATATGCAGGCGCCAATTTCTACAATTTATCACCACATGAATTGAAAAACCAATCGAACCTTTTCGGATTCAAGTCCAAACTGAAATATTTTCTGCTCCTGAATGCATTCTATGATATAAAGGAATTCACGATGTGGTGTCAGAGTTCTATTGACGATTTTAATTCTATTGGATAGTTTTATATAAGTATTCTTATATTTTACGGACATTAATAATTGTAACAGTAAGCAAAATGTAACTATGGTATTTTAACTTGTCAGTCCAATGTTTAATTAGTGTCTGATCAATAAACTTCTATCTATCTATCTACCGAAATTGAAGGCGAAAAGTCAGACATACAAATCTACAGAAGACAACCAACAAATCTGAAAAATAGTTTTGACACGGTGCATACAAGTATTCCCACTTGAAAGCGACTCATACACCCCTTCTGACGTCACACATACTTTTGGTGCATACAATTGCATGTTTAAATTTCTATCGTTTCTATCAGTTTATAAAATTGCCTTAGTACCTTAGTGCCTTAGATAATAAGTTTAAATTGAAAGGATATATTTTTAGGAGAGATTAATTTTTGGGAAAGATAGGTTTTGGTTTTCTACTTTTCCATCTTCATACATAAAATCTTTAAAAGAAAGAAAGGAAGTAATCAATTTCAAAAGTTAACTCTTTACATCGGATATCTACCAGTGAGTATGACTGTGTTCCACGTAAGTAAAATTTTACTTCTTTCATTTATTATATTGTGTAGAAATCCTGTGAATGATACCTGATTCGATTAAATAAGTTTAAATTGATAGGATA